CGCACATCACCCCAAACCCATTGAAAAGCAGAGTGGGGGTCACCACTGTTTGGTATACATCTGCTCCAAACAGGAAAATATGCAAAGATTTGATTCGCAGAAAATCCGGCAATTGTTCCAATCACCATGAGTTTTTTTTTCTTTCTCTCTTGTTGGAGCAGAAATACTCGACGTTTCACTCTGTCCGCTGCATAACTCCTATTTCTATGATATTACTCAATATAGAGCTGTTTGTTTTCAGAACGCCTCCTCTGGTGAATCTCCAATGTAATCAACTTGTCACAGTGATCTACGTGATGTTTTCAGTGACTGCTGATTTCTATCTCAATGACAACCTCGCGAGACAATAGATTACATGTAATAATTCTTTAATAAGCCAAAATAATTACAATAGAGTGTGTTGATTAGACTGCCACTGTTTATAAATAGGAACCGTGCATTTGTTAACTGGACCTCTGGTCAACAGAGGTTCATCAAATGTCTAGAAATACAGTGTCTATAAATACACACCAATGTCATCTATTCAAGGAAAAGACACACTGCCATCTATTCACAGAGAAAAATCATCACGCACTGACCTGTGTTTACCCTCCAGCCCACAGGGCCACTGAAATGTCACATACTAAATAGTCTGTGCAAATGAGGGGGGGTCACACCTTCAGAGGAGAAGTACTGGATGCTAATAAAGAGGGTTTACATTAGGCTACATACAATTATTGCACTCTGGAGACTGTCTAAAATGCAAATATTAATTTTCTACACTCTTGTTAATGATAAATCCTCTGGTCCAGGAAAAGAAACTTCATCCAGGATCTCCCTTCACCAATCTTTTTATAATGGGATATCACCTCCAAGCAGAAACTGCTTATGTGCCAGCAGACCTGTCTGAACAGACAAAGAAAAGAACACATTTACCAGCTTTTGGCTGATGTTAATTTGTGCTGTGGATGTGGCGGAACTGGCCAGCTTATACTGTAAAGGGAAATGCGATAAAATGTTTCCGTCCTCTTGATTATGAGCTGCAAATTGCTTTGTCGGGATTTAAATGGCAGGTCTTTTCCCATCGTGCACTGATGGAGGCTATTTTTAAACCTCTTTCCTTTCGCCCCCTAAAAACTTCCGCAGGGTTGGCAACAAGAAGCTATTAGGATAACTTTTCTCCTGTTAACATTCCAATTAATCAAAGATGAAACCAAATTCCCACAGGGATCATTAAGGGCCAGCACCTGTTCTTCTGATACTGTATAATAAACCAGTACAACTTCTTGGTCAGACCTTGGCTGACCTCTGGGGACGGTGTGAGACACATAATCACTGCAAGCCACTTATACATCAGCCCACTATCAGTAATAGAAATATAACCTCATGCGGATATGAATGCCAAACACTGAGCTTATTTCACAACCAAAACAATTCCAAAATGCCTTTTTACTTATCAGGATTTCCTTCAATTTCAAAACAGTGCACTGAAGCCCTATTAGGATACAAATTGCAGGAGAGGTAATAACTTAATGACACATTCTTCAAATAAATAGTTATTGTAATAGCTCTCAATCGAATCTGTATTCCACTGTCATATTGTTTTTTTATTGGCATATAAATGATTTGTGAAGTAAGGCTCTCTCTATTGGCTATAACATACACATGCAAAACAGGAAGTTGGCCTCAGGCCTGACCCTTGCCCCGCCTCTATGTACATGCCAAACCCAGTCCCAGGTCAGATGTCAGACTCTGCAATCCAATTTTGGCCATATCTCTTTCAAGCAATTACATACCTCTTGGCAAGGCCTCACAATTAAACAAATGATGATATTTTGATATCCATAATTATACGCATTCACATAAGGTACCCTTTCAAGTTAAATATGCTTTTTATTACATGCTTATCATCTGTGATGAGATTATGCACAGTGTGGGTTTGGACTGAGTTAGGGTACATTTAATCAAATAAGAGGAGCAGTAATGGAAGCATGCTGGACCCAGGACTACACTACATAGGCTGCTCCCTTTGAGCCCAGCTTATGTTTAGCAAATTTCAGACAATGAGAACGTTATGAGGAAGACTGTGAGGGAGAGCCTTTAACCCCTGCCCACCAGGTCAAACACATGGCATATGGCACAATTTTTGTGTCACTGATGAAGTGCACCACACAAACTTGTGGCCTAGAAGATGGTTTAAATGGAGGTATCTCTGGCTAAACTAGTTACAGTTGATGGTATGGTTCTGATCATGGTGTGATCTGGTGATCCTTTTCAGGGCCAGCTATATACATGGCAGGGTAACGAGGCAAGTATCCACGTGCGGTTATGACACTGAATACCATCATTCAACCTTCATTGAAAACAGTCACACTGGGAACATAATTTTTTACAGAAGTCACCCAAATGTGCTCATTCTGAAAGAGTAATCTTTGGCTCTCCTTTGAAACTGACGTACTTTGTAAGTTTAAGTGTGTTGTGTGGGTCGTTGCTGCCCCCTTGTGGTACGAGAAAGACCATCATTTTATAATGTGACTCAGCTCTTCCTGTTGCTTGAATCAGCCGGAATAATGTTATCCTAAGGACCAGACACCATTAAAAGACTATAAAACACAGTCTACAACAATTTAGATTCAAACAAAGATTTTCATGTTTTTAAATCATGGTTATTGTGCTGTGTGATTTATTGAGTATTTATAAAAGAACCAAAGTTATATGTATATCAAAATAACCCCCCACACACATATAAGTCAGCAATTGATACAGATGTATGTATGACATTGCATCTTGTGTTAAAAGGTAAGTGAGTGTCTTAAGAACAACTGCATTTCCAACAACCATACAGTGAAAAGCTTATAATAAGATATTACCTCTAGTTTGTGATAGCCTAATACTCTACACAGTTACATCCTAACAAACCCCCAGAGGATTAATATAGGCAAGACCTGAACTAGTTTTCACAAGGAATTTATCTCTAACAATTAAAGGCTGACAGCAAGAGCGCCATTTGTAAATCTTGTTAAAAGAAAAAGGCCATTTTCAAATAAGATTCTTTGACATGTCACAGTAGAAAAAGAACACCTCTACTTTCCAAAATGACAAAATATGTGCTGTGAAAAAGGCCTACTGTTAATGTTGGTTTTAATACTTTGAGAGGAGGATCATTTCAGTGAGGTTGTAGAACCAAACTAAAACTTTAAAAACAATTGTCCTTTCCCCCTAAAGTCTGGTCAAATCGATGATTAGAGGCGAGTCCTTACACAGGAACGTTGCTGTATTGTGCTGCCCTTGAGCAAGACATTCAACAGTCAGCTGCTCCAGTGGAGCTGCTCTGTGGCCAACTGTGGTCTTACTGGGAGACATCTAGCTGTGAATGTGTGTGAGCTGGGTATTCCCGTAAGGAGCAGCTGTGCCAAACCATTGAGACACTGTACTTTCACATATGTCTTGACTAATGGTCCTGTGTGTACAAAAGGTTAATCAGCATTTGTCAAACTCCTAACATTTGCATTGACAACCAATAAAATCATTCCTACATATCAGTGATGAATAATAACCCATTTGCTCAGCAGAGGGCACCAAAGCTCAGTTTACTGTCAGACTGGACGCTTTTGTAAGGTTGTACATATTTCGTAAAGATAAAAAATGGAGCATCAACAACAATAAGGATATGTTGTTGCTTTATTTGGGGGTTAAAAGCTAAGCAAAAGATGAATGACAGCTACAGAGACGTATTGGCTCATGTAGGTTATAACCCGACTGAATGTGCTGCTGGACAAATACATTCACTCGGCTTTCTTGAAGAGGAGGTTGGAAAAGATTGTGTTTCCGGGTGAAATCACTGCTCAGAAGTTTTATGCCGGTGGTATGCGGTTACTGGTAGAAAGCCGGCTGCCCTCCATACCTCAACCGGAGAACTGCACCAATCAGCTTCAGATAGACAGAATAAAACCAGAAGACAGGAGAAGTGACCTTCACAATAAAAGTCTCGATTTCATTCAAGAGTTTTCTATTTTTTAAAAAAAGAAATAAATGCAGACTGTGTTAGTTTATTGTAAATGTCCATTAATATGCAGCCATATGTTATGTTGCTATTGTTTCATAATGTATTTATACTGATTGAAACCCTGGACCAAATATATTTAGCTAATGTTGTTTTCTTTAATATTCTACAGAGTCACAGACTGATGCTGTAATCTGGAAACAAACCCTGAAGCTGCTTCAGTAAATAAAGTAGCCCTCTCTCAAACCCCTGGGTACATTTATTGAGACATTTTCTGATTCCCAGCTGTGAACCCTACATTACATTACTTTACACAAAAACTCATCTGGTTGGTAGTCAGTCAGGCATTGCTGGATCTGTATCATAGAGCTCACAGGCCTCATAAGGAGGCAACAATTCCCTGTTGAGACCAGGTTACACAAGTCCTGAGGATAATCAATATAGACAGTATTTATTTCTCACACATTCTATGTATTTGCACGGTGTTAGAGTCAGACAAACAAATCTGTATGGCAAGATTTTGAATTTGAATGCTGAAATGAACAGTGACGAAGTAGAAGTGGAAAGGCCTAATGCAGTAATATATTGTGTTGATTTGTAGGATGTTTCTGTGTTGTACTTTCTAGGTGACTGTTTAAGTGTAGGCCTGCTCAGTGGTGTGTATTTGTATGTGTAGGGTGTATCTGTAGCTGAAATACAACCACCCACGATGGCTTTCACGCGTTATCTCGGTATGATTTTTATTCACGTTTAAACTAAAGCAGTAGCCTGCAAATAATATCTGCCCAACTTGAGTCTCCAGTTCAGAGTCAATGGAGCAACCTCTAAAAATGCAATCTGAAGATATTATCATTTAATCTTCATGCTCGAGTTGCCATACAGTTTATACAACGGACTTCGCTTAAGAATAAAACTATGTGGTTTTCCTTTTAAACTCGAGGCTACTGCCGGTCATCGGTGCGGGCTTTTTATTTTGAACATGCTGAGCGGATGGTCCTGTTCCTCCGTTACACTCTCACACTTGACAGTGGCGGCGGAGGGAGAGCTGGCGGAGGAAAAGGCAGCAGCGGTGGTGGTTCACCTTCTCAAACAAACAGGAAGCAAGACAGCGCTCCTGTCCACCTGCGACATCTGTGTCCTGCGTAAGGAGACAGCCTGCGTGGACTGCGTGGCTCGTATGTAACGCAGACTTTTTTTAATTGAAACTACTCCATCGTGAAGACTGCGTTATTAACTTTCAGCGGGTTGTTGGTCCGGTACATTGTTCAGCGACCTCACGCCAAAGAGTGACTAAAGGTAAGTCGCAACTTGTTCTTTTTGTGTGATTGATTTGAGCCCCGTACTTTTCGCTTGCCGAGTGAGGACCTCACGCCAAACTCCGTTCATCAATCTGCCAATTGACTGTCGCATTGCTTACGCTATCCGTACGCAATCATAGTACTCGCATTTTAATTCGACATTTAACCAGTAAACTAGTTAATCGACCTTTATTTTTGGATCAAATGAATTCGGTGTAATTGTTTGATCGTTTATTGCCATAAAGCAACGTTCACTATAATGGATTGTGATGGGCGGCGCCAGCGAACACAGTTTTTAAGTTGCAATTGTATCAATATCAAGAGTTATTCCCGGGTATAAGAATATGCCGAATGTCCCAGGAGACCTTGTGGATCTGTCAAGGGTTCGACATTTGTTTGGAGAGTTGTTGACTTGGGTCGCTACCCGATACAACAACAAACTTATTACATTTCTGAACCGAGTTTGTTCAGTGCTCCCTCCATAAGAGCACATAACAGAATGTAGCATTCCGGAGTGATTATACCTCTACAGAGGTGAATCTCATAAGTGCTTGTAGGGCCTCTTGTAACAGTATTGTTGTGTTTTTTGGGTAGGACAGTGGGTTAACTTTTTTTTTTTTACATCAATGACAGAGGCACTTTTGCCATCTTAGGCAGCTTCGTCACAGGTCCCAGCCTCTAAACTCTATTTAGTTTGTATTAAATGCAACAGTGAAATTAGTTATTTTGGTATTATGAATCCTTTAAGTCTTAGATCCTGTCTAATAAGACAAGACTGTTGTCTAGCATTAGGTGCATCCTCTTTTTGTGATCATTTAGTTTTCAACCATTATTTTTCTCATTATGATAGAGATCCTCTTGATGTTCTTCAGTGACCCCTGGGCCCTGGTCCCAGTTTCAGGAAGCACTCATCTATGAACTCAAAAGTAGATCATGCTTGTTACCCTAAGCTGCGTCACTGATGACAAGTTTTATTGAAAGAGGATATGAAACTTTGGAAACTAATTCATTTAGTCAGCTTTTCTGCCATATCTATATCAAGCTTTTGGTTTTATTTCAGTATCACACAGAAGTCAACAGAGACATATCTTCTAGGTTCGTTTATACCTATGATACTCCTGATGTAATGGAACTCAAGATGATTCATATAAACCATCATCCATCCAACAGTTGCCAACCAGCCATGGCTTGGAATGGGCAACAGTACACATCAGGCGTCTGTTAAGTACGTAACAGACAATTGTTGACTGACAGTTAGGGTACTTCTTTAGAACTGTTATAACTTTGGATTCAGGTTTCGGCCCGTTTTGAAACCCAGCCAATCTCTTTCTCACTAAACAAAATGGGTCAGTGCCAACTGTATTGCATGTTTGTACCTGAATACGTGGAAACTGTAACTGTGACTGTCTGCTTTTGTGTGTGTGTTTGCATGTTTGTGTTCAGCAACAACACATCCTCAGGCTCTGTTTTCCTTAAAGCCCCAATGCTCTTCATCCATGATACACCAACAAAAAGGAATTTGTGAATTAGTTTAGTTTGGGCTTAATCTGAGCCAGTCGGTCTGTGGTGATAATGTCAGGCAACACAAGAAGGAACATGTAACAAATGCAACTTTGTGTGTGTGTGTGTGTGTGTGTGTGTGTGTGTGTGTGTGTGTGTGTTATGCCCTCATGTGTACTTAAACTTAAACTTAAAGTCAGCACCTAGCCAGAGGGTGAGCATTACGGTGTTAATATGATGTGAGATGAGAGAGAGTAGATATTTTACTATACCCTTTCTCCAGAAGCTAATATCAATTTGATATCTCTTGCTGTATCAGGACATCACAGGCAATAATTAAAATCAATGAGCTGTACTTCTTTATGGCAATATTGGATATTATATTTACAGTAATTCATTCTCCAAATTAACCAAAAACAGGCGATCCTTCTGGTTATTTGGTTTTAATTTCCAGAAAATGTACTTTATCACAATATAATGAGATACATCTTGATTCATCTTTACATTATACAGTATCATGACAAAGGACTTTATCCAAATCACCCGCCCCTAACCTAGCTTGAGGCGCTTGTGTTCCACTGGAGTGTTTTATGTCATGTGAGACATTTCCCGTTCAGTCGTCTAACACACTCACACACAGACATACATACATAACTTTAAAGATTATTTGACAGTTCAGTAGTCTTAATTTCCAGAGGTATTGTCTTTCAGTGATATAGGCATTTAAAGGCATCTTAACAGCATTCACACACATTTCCACCTGTGCCATCGCACACCGTTTATTACTTAAACTGGGATCGATGCTTGCAGAGAGAGGATTTTAGAACCACACAGCAAAGAAGAGAAAGAGGAGAAGAATTTCCCCAAGACATTTAGCCAATATTTGCTGTTTTTTAGTTTAGTATCGCCACAGCATTACCGCTCTCTGAAACACTGTTGCCCAGTTGGTGCGTTCAAGTATGTAATTTTGATCAGGCAGTGGTCTGGGCTGCCCTGCATGGTCTGCTGTCAGGCCTCCTCTGAGGTAAAGTTAGAGAACACTGATAAGACTAACTGACGTCACTCCACAGACATCAGCCAACAATGCAGCTATTTACTGCAAGCCAGATTTAGTCCCAAAGCAGGCCTCTCCCGAGAAACTGGGCACAAATGAAAGCAGAATTCTAAATAAGTGTGTCGCAAAAACGTTTTGCAGCTTTGGTGACGTCCATGTCCTTTATTATTGGCCTCACAAAGTTGAACAGTACTGTAAAGTGAGGTCCATTTCTGTCTGATTGGATTGTGGTTTAAGATTGATACCTGAGCGATACAGGGCGTTTGGTGCTGAATTATCAGAGCGAAAGATTCACAGAAGATGGACGTCAACTGCATACAATTGTATGATTCTGGTCTTAATGACTAAAATGTGAGTTACATTTTAGAGCAAGAAGTCGGTGTGTTTGGTGTCAGTAATCAGAACAATAATACAGTTTATTGCTGTAGCATGTTTCACTGTGCTCAAAGACTCTTCAAGTGTTAAGCACATCAGAACATCAGGGTGTAATGGTAACACTAAACATACAGTGTAGTCTGCAGGTTTTTGGACAGTGATATGTTTTTCATTGTTTTGGCTCTACTCCACCATGTTGGATTTCAAATGAAACCATGAGAATGAGGTGAAAATGCTGACTGTCAACTGTAAGGGTGTTCACATGCATATTGGGTGAACAGTGTGGGAAAGTTTTAAGTCAACACTTCGATGTTTTAGTGATTGCCTCATTTCAAATCCAGTGCCCTGGACTTGCACACTGTCTTAACAGTTACAGACTGAACTGATATACAACTAAATATACTGAAATGATTGTAAGACAGTGGGGTCAGGGTTTAAATCCACATCAGACCAGTTCTGTGTGTATTGAGCCAGTGGTCCTTGACCAGCTGATTTGTGCGTGACAGATATGTTCCCTACCTTTGAGTTTCTGTCTCACTGATTGCCCGCTGTGCTTGAATGTTGCCAGAGCTCTAAAAGGGAGCAATTTTTATACTGCATAGAGACTGAGAAAATGTTTTGTTTTCCAGTGTATTTGTTAGAACACATTTATATGAAACGCCTACATATTCTTTTTTTAAGAGACCCACTTTTGCAACCTGAATTGTAAACTCTATTGTCACTGTGTGTGTGTGTGTGTGTGTGTGTGTGTGTGTGTGTGTGTGTGTGTGTGTGTGTGTGTGTGTGTGTGTGTGTGTGTGTGTGTGTGTGTGTGTGTGTGTGTGTGGCAACTGCTGTCACTTACTGTTTGTACTATCCCCCATATAATCTTTTTCTCCCTCTCCATCCCCCGTGTTTCTCTCCCCCTTTCACTCTCTGGCTCTCATTCACACTTCCTGCTGTTACACTTTTAATGTAATCACCCTTCATTACAGTGAAAGGCTTGCGTAACATCCTTTCAAAGAGTAGTATAAAAGAGAGTCCGTAGACCTGTTGGTTTTTGTTTGTCTTTTTTGTATTTGTATGTGAGTGTGTGCAAGCTGGCTTACACAATGTGCCTGCTAGCTTGCATGTTCACAGAATCTCATCTACTGTCAGTACTGACCAAGGACAAGGAACATTCAGTATTCACTAAAACCAAGTGCAACTGTACCATGCTGTGCTTATTATATAACTATACATAGAAATGGAAATTGCCGTAACAAGAAATGTGACTGACTGTGAGATAAGAGCAGCTTTCTGGAATTCTCCACTTTGCTGCTCAGCAGGCCGGGACCTGCCAAGGAATGCAAGGAAGACAGCAGGAGAGGGCGAGAGGGAGATGTAATGAACAGAGAGAGAAATGCCAGAGATGGTACAGTGAAATATATGTGAGACAAGTTTTAAATTGAATGTGTCTGAAGTACAGGAGTCTACACAATAACATAATAAACTAACGGCTCCCTTTAATTCCCAGTGATTCATTTACACACAGAGCACAAACACATTATTAGATGCAGAGGTATAAATCAGGATTAAGATGCTCCTGGTGCAGATTTAGTTAGAGACACATTCTAACACATTTATTCTGAAGTGCAAAGGCCAGGAGCCAACTCGGGGCTTGAAAGCATTCTACTGCTACAAACAAACACACTCTCGCTTTTCTAATCGTACTGCAACTGGAGTTTGTTACTGGTTATCAAACAGTCTCAACCTAATACTGATGGCCTACATGAGCAAACCATCAGTGAGAAGATTGTCTATTTCTTTGTTGTTATTCTCAGTGCCTGCTAATGGGTCAGATTCAGCTTGAAATCAATATTTTAAAAAAAGGGGCAGTAGAAGCACTATCGCTTTTGTCCACAGGGGCCGTCAGAATCAACACAACATTCCCTTTTAGAGGTTTTAAGTCAGACCAGCTGTGAATTAAATTTGAAACATCATAGCATCTTTAATCACTTATGTGTGTAGGAAGTGCAGACTCCCTCAACATGCCACAGGTTGCCATGTGTGACACAGACATAGTGCTGTATGCCAGGATGTGGGGCTGG